CATGGTGTCCCCACCTGGGTGCCCATGGGGTCCTCTGGGTGCTCATGGTGTCCACCTGGGTGCCCATGGTGTGCCCTGGGTACCCATGGTGTCCTCTGGGTGTCCGTGGTGTCCTCTGCGTGCCTGCAGTGTCCCCTGCCCTACGTGTCTCCCTGGGTTCCCATAGTGTCCCCCTGGGTGCCCGTGGTGTCCACCTGGGTGCTCACGGTGTCCACCTGGGTGCCCATGGGGTCTTCTGGGTGCCTTCAGTGTCCCCTGCCCCACGTGTCTCCTTGGGTTCCCGTAGTGTCCTCCTGGGTGCCAGTGGTGTCCCCTGGGTGCCCACGATTGTCCATCTGGGTGCTTACAGTGTCCACCTGGATGCCCATGGGGTCTTCTGGGTGCCCATAGCGTCCCCTGCCCCATGGTGTCCCTTGGGTGCCTGCGGTGTCCTCTGGATTCCCATAGTGTCCCCCTGAGTACCCATGGTGTCCACCTGGGTACCCATGGGGTCCTCTGGGTGCCCGTGGTGTCCTCTGGGTGCCCACAGTGTCCCCTGGGTGCCCACAGTGTCCCCCTGGGGCTGTGCTGACCCCCAACGTGACCCTGCCCCACAGATGCCCACATGATCTCCATAGCACGTTCCTTCCCTGGAGAAACCCACAGCACATTCGTGTCCCACACAGTCCCCATACACACCCCTGTCTCACACTGTCCCTATAGGTCCCCATGCTGTCCCCGTAGCCAACCCCTGCCCCATGCTGTCCCCATAGCTCACCCTTGTCCCACGCTGGCCCCATAGCACATCCCTGGCCCGTAGGTCCCCATGCTGTCCCCATAGCTCATGCCTTACCCACACTGTCCCCATAGCACACCCCTGCCCCATGCTGTCCCCATGCTGTCCCCATAGCTCACCCTTGTCCTATACTGTCCCCATAGCACACCTCTGTCCCAGAGGTGCCCATGCTGTCCCCATAGCTCACCCTTGTCCTATACTGTCCCTATAGCACACCCCTGTCTCAAA